ACACCCTCTCATTTCACTCCATTACATGCTCTTTTCGATGAATTACGTGGCACAGACGCAGAAAATCATGGTTCGCAAGTCGAACATTTTTGAAGAGCGCATCGAAACGGACATTTTCTTAAAATAACATGGTATACAAAAAGTGCGTTCTTGAGCCTGTAGCAAACGATTTGCATCCATGACATCCCAAAAACTTAAAATAACATATCTCGACTCCTAGAATGAAATCGACGTGAATCCTTAGGGCAGTTAGTGTGTTTTAGTATCATACTTAACACCACAAAGTTTTACGGGGCACTCTACAATACTCTTCCCAAGACGCAAGAAAATGTTCATTTTGGGGGGTCCTCTAACGCGAACTTAATGATAAAATACCGCACTTAGTCCATAAAATACGAACTTAGGCACTATTCGCACTTAGTAAAATAACTTCTCGCACTTAGAACGGGTAATTTATGTAAATTACTTTATGGGTGACTGCTGAGTTCTAACAAAACTGAAAGATACTGACTAGCTGCTGGCGCGGCGGTTACTTTTCCAGCTATTAATAGATGTTAAACGAGTAGTCTGTAACTGTCAGCAGTAATCAATTCCCGTCAATCTGCTGTAGATTAACGGGAATTTTTGTTAAGACGACGTAAACAAAAGCGAGTATCTTTCTTGTGACGGTTTCCTAGTATATGTGAGGTGACAAGTCGGTTACTGAGTGTAATTTTGGAAATGGCGTGTGGGTTTCTAAGATTATAGTTGGTTTTTGAGGCGTTACTTTGCTGTTTAGGGTGATTTCTCGGTCTTATTTTAGGATAAGATTGAGTGAACTCTGGCGATTTATGGTTTTTTAGATGTGTCTTTGTAGGAATAGTTCTGCTGTTTCTAAGACGTGTCTTTAAGACATTCCTTTAAAAATCGTGCGTTATTATTGCTTTGGGGAAACTTAGAGCGGTTATTTCGTGCGTGCAGAAATTGAGGTTGTACTCGTATGCTCTGCATAAGAATATAGCTTTATTTGACGCATTTTATGCGTTGCTCTGGGTATTTTGCGCTGAATCGATGTGGAATTGCTGACGAGTGTGTGCTTTCGGGATAGTGACCTGACTGTGTGTGCTTGGATGCGAGGAAGCGTTTGCTGACGTTGCGAGGTGCTACATCAACGCTCTGTCGGTGCCGGTGCGAAGGTGTGCTGCGGTTGGGTTGTATAGTGTTTCGTGCAGTTTTTCGGATTGTGTGTCATTATGCGATACCTTCTGTGGTGCGTTTTTGCGCTGGATTTTTTCCGGTGAAAAGTTTTCAATTTCGGGTAGAACCGTTTTTGACCTGGGGGCTAGTTATGCGGCGTGGGAGAGGGGACTACAACCCAAAAGTATGCTGCCGCCGTGCTCCTATTATTCGCTTCTTGGTCTACCTATTTTTAGGTGGGACTGTTGAAGTGCGGATCATATTTTTGTCTTTCTGGTCCAAAAGATTCTCGGCTATTAATGGCGGCTTTGAGAAAA